CTCATGCAAACGCGCTTGGTTCAAATCCATCAGGTTATCACAAAAAAAAATAAGGTCGGATACTTTTCTCACAGGCCTCGTATAGTTAGATTCATGATTTTATAATTGTAGCATATCCTTGTGTATGAAGCATGTGTTTCATCCCTGAGTGGGGAACATCTAAACTAAAACTCTGTTCCCGCATATTTTAGCTATATTTTGTTAAATGAAGGAAGTAATTAAAAATATTTTTGTAAAGTATAAATGTTCAAACATCTGCTATTGAAAGAAATATTACAGAATATTTTTTTCATTCTTAAACATTAATTAATTTTTCCTTTAAGCAAGGATTAAAACAGAAAAAGTATATAAATTATTTATTTCAACATTGATGCAGTTAAAAATAATATTTTTGATGTCAAGGATTTTTTTATTTGTTTGAATAAAATATTTTCTAACAGAATGAAGAGAGAACTACAACAAAAGTTGATTGAACAGGCTGTAGGAGAAAGACAAAGAGTGAGTAAATTGAGAGTATATGTTTCAAGAAGTCTTTAATCATAAACAGTCAAGCTTTCACAATGTTTTCTGCTCTATTTTGAAAATTTCTTATACTTCATGGATACTGATTCAATATATTAAGTGTAAGAGAATTATTTAAGACCTCTAACTATGAAACTTGATAAGAAAGCAAAATTTTGATATGTTTGTGAAAATAGTAAAATTATTATATGAGCAATTTTTTCAGTAAAACAAGAAAATGTTTCTCTCTTCTACAAGATATTAGTTATTTAGAGACCATTATATCCAATTTGTCAAAGAACAATATATTTAGGTATTGCAATGGAATTACACACACACACATACATAAATTAAGCATTTTTCAGAATAATCATATTTTATAATTTCACTAACTTAATCACCAGATAATCCATACACGTTTTTTCAACCATTCAAGATAATTTGTTTTTTCAATTAGTTCTATAGAGGATTTATTATGGGTATTTAATGGCTTAGTTGTTTAGTGCTGGCCTATAGGAACTGTCAAGACTATATGTTCCATCCTCTAAATGCCTCATTAAAAGCATATATGTTTAGTAAATTCAAAATGTGTGGTATTTTTCACTACATTTATGGTAGTGGAAGTTAAAAAACAAGTTTCTAAAATAAGTCAGTCAATATTTTGTACTAGTACTAGAATTTTATATTTGTGTTAATTTACTGGTTGAGTTAATACTTAATAGAAATGCAGAAGCTTAATTTCTTGTATTATATGTGTAAAAAACTTAATACACAGAATATAGCATTTTGTTATACTGATGTTGTGGTTTGTAACTAGTTAAATTTTATTCATAAAATAATTGCAAACCAACTTTCAAACCACAAAAATGACTGATGGAAAATAAAGTGTTAAGTGTCATAAAGCTTTGATACCAGGCTTCTACACCTTAGGATGTTGAAATATATATATATATATATAAATATAGAATTATTCTCTAGTTTAACAGTTTATTAAAGAAAAGGAAGACTGCATTAGAAAAAGAACATGAGGAGGTTAGGAAAAAAGTTGAAGAAGAAAAAAGTCATGTAAGAAACTTTGTGATTTTTTTGTTGTTGTTGTTGTAGAATGTGAATCATATTATGGATCATTTAGTTATTTAAAAATGAAAATTCTTAACTTTATCACTGACTTGATGCATGTTTATAAAATGAAAATTTAGAAATATATACATAATTTTTAGTCTACTATTTTTAGCTAATCTTATAATTAGAGTTGCTTGATCAATTATTCTGTTTCCTTATTTTTTGATGTACCATAGTTCTAATACTAATATCACCTAAAGATGAGAATAATATTGTTATTTTCAGATTACCATTGTGATATTTCCATATACATAATTACCACGTCTAAAGATGGGTTTTATCAGAAAGATTTTCATGTGTTAAAATAATGATGTGTTGCTGTGGATATTGCAATACTTCCAGGGCAATTATGGGTGCAGGATTATGTCACAGCTATTTCTGAGGAAGGGTATTGTTATAGTGAGGATGTCAAATAATTTAGAACCAAAATACTTATATAATCTCCATGGATGAATAAAAACTTGTGCACTAGTGTGTTTAGGACAGAAATGGGGTCCAAAACAAACCCACAAACCAATCTGGAATAATTCCTTCAACAACAAAAATCCCCTGATCTAAAAATTGGGCATATCTTCTGTTACTGTTAGTAAGACAAAAATGGATTTAACTTGATGAGGCTCAAAAGCCAAAGGTTTACAAGGTGACATCCACACATCAAAATTAGTGACTGTTTTTATAAAACAAAACAAGATGTCCATAAAAAAGTGCAATTACTGTAATCTTATTTGACCAGCTGCAGTGGACTTCTGTGTCTTTAATGTAATTTTGATTTTGGAAGTTGCCCACATGCATCAGAGAATCTGCAGACATTTGGTCAAGATGTATGTTCTTGGACTTTACCAACCTTCACAATAATGCATACTCATGACCATCAATATGACTGACTATGAAGGAAGTTTAATCAAGGACAACATGAGACATAGAGCATCATTCTTATAAAGTGTGATTAACTTTATCATTTACTATTGACCTAGAAGTATCAAGTGTTTCTGTCTTATTACTGTGTTCACATTTATATTTTTGGGTTTGACTTGGTGATACCTGATCTCAGAGTTATTACCATGTTTAGGCTCAGATGAAACTCCAAGAAATGTTTGAAAAAAAGTGTGTAGCCTTGCAGCATGAGTTTGATGAAAATCCTTGGATATTTTTCTCTGTTTCCAGTGCAGATGTTCCACAGACTTCTCTGTTATGAGAGAATTTAAAATCAAGGTAGGCATGCATATTTAGTGTTTATCTGGCTTAATCCTGGGACAGGTGCAATCTCTTGCCTGCACATTAGGTACTTCTTATCTTATTCAAGTATAATGTAACTCAGTTAAAAACCTAGTATTTGATGTTGATGAAAATTTTTTAACATATTGAATAAGTTCAAATATTTTCTTCTTTCCCTTTTTTAGTGTGTCTGCTTTCTTTAAACCTTATTTTTCCATTGTCTTTGAAAGAGGAGAATGTTTCTTTTTTGTTTTATCACTGTCAAAATAGCTAATTTAAATCAATCCAATTTTTTCTAGAAAGAATTTTAGCTAATGATTGAAATAAAATTCAGTCTTGAGAAATAAGTAAAAAGTGTATAGCAACAGTGTTTATTACAGGTACTTAACATACAAAGTCATAAAAGCCAAATACTTGTACAAAAATTAAAAGCTATGAACGTTATTATTATTACGCATATAAAAGCTCAGCATAATATTCCTTTATAATAGAACGACCAACATTTTGGAGCTGAATTTCTTCCTAAAAGTAGTGAAATGAGTCTGAAATTGGTATCTGTTTTCTACATAATTCTACAATAAATTCATTTTTTCAGCTCTCCTAGAAAGAGTGTAAGATCAAAACATAGAATTATATTTATTAAGAATTGATATTTTGTCTAACTTAATGCCATAAATTATAATGTTTAAAATTTGTTGCTGGTCTTATAAGTTCGATGCAAAAAATCATTTTTCTTACATGCTCAACCATGAGTATTGTTTCTCCAAATTCAGAGTTTCTCTCCTTGCTGCATGGGAATTTTTATAAAATAAGACGATTACAAGTTCAACACTTGCAAAAAATAATAACTAGTTTGAGGATTATATAAGTGTAAGAAAGTGTTGAAACTTACAATCAGCATGAACTTTTAATATTTTATCTTATTTTATAGACAACATTTTTTATTATTATAATATGCTAAAGACTTGTTAGATCTAAGTAATAAAGCCTAAAATAAACTTAACAGTTGTAAATACTGTAAAACTTTTAATAGTAATATTAGTGACATGTTGCATGTTTACTAGTAACAAAGGTAGGTTATGATAATTCATGGTTCTTATAATTCTGTTATACAACTTGAAATTTCATTTTGCCAATAGTAATAAATTTTCAGAATGACTGAGTTGATCATGATTTTTTTTGGCAATTGATTGTTTTTCTTATTTATGGCAAAACTACATAGGCTGGTTGCTGCTACCATTAATTTTGAACTACCAACCAGAACGAAGGTAACCAGCAAGCAGTACCCAATGCCAACTCTTGGGCTACTCTTTTTATTAAACAAAGAGTGGGATTAACTTTCACATTATAATACCCCCATGGCTGAAATGGGGAACATGTTCAGCACCAAATTTTGATCCCATTACCTTCAGACTGTGAGTTTGAGCGCTCTAACCCTAGGATATATTGACTGTTGATGCAATATGTCTAATCATAGTTCCAGATATTGTAATAAATGCTTTACACAATATTATTTAAGAACATCTTTGTTAATTTTTTGTTTTTCTCTTTATTAGAAATTAAAACGAAAGAAATAACATTTGTTTTCTGTATCCCATATTGGAAACTATTACAATACTAAAAAGATTTTTCAATTTTCTTTTCTTTTCAGATAATATGAGCTGCAATTTTCTGCCCAGGATTACTGCATGGTGCTGCTTTCTGGTAACACAAAGGAAAGAAAACTATTTGACACTCAACAGTTCATGGTAGAGCTTTTGTGTTTGCAGCATCTTGTGATGTCAGTCAGCTTTGGATCATTCCATTCATAGATAAGACAGGAGATATGTTTGTAAATGAAAATAATAAGTTGGTATATATAATTTTGTTTACAAGTTGTATATACTATTCTGGGTATTTTGTTATTCTGGTGTTATTTCCAAGAAAATCAGATGTTCTTTGTAAGCTTCAAAACTTCACTATTGTTTATACTCACAGAGGAGTACTGGTCAGGTATTGTTATATCAGTTCAAATCATTGAATGTTTGTCATATGTATTCATTTATCTAACAGTAAATTTAATGTTCATAGAAATTGTCATGGCTGTTATTAGATAAAAAAAAATTTCATTTGTTTAATATATATATATATATATATACTGTTCATTGTTTCTGTTAAAAAAAAGAAGTGGAAGACTAATTACTAAAATCAAATTTTTAATTGAATGTTAAAATGTTTTTGATTTATATATATATTTTTTATTTTCATGAGTTATTATTTGATTATCAAATTATAGCATCCAGAGCACTTAGGGTGTCAAAGTACCCCAGTGATGTATTATTGTGCACAAGTTACTTTTCAGTATTATATCACACTGTGTAACACAAACTATGTATAAATACAATGTTTAAGGTATACCTTATGACAAAAGAGCATATATAAATTAGTTTAGTATCATGATATCCCCTGCAACACCATTATATACAAGGTGCTGATTTTTGTATCATGTTATACCCAATTATCAAATAATATATAAACATTATTTAACTTTCACGTATATATATATAATAAAAGTCATTTTCTGTTCAGAACACTGTCTTTGTTGGTAATGCTCAAGTCTCTGTTGGTAATGTTCAGATTAGCTCAGTGGTTTGTCTCAAGCAGAAGTCTTGAGCTCAAATCCCAGTCGAGTGGGGATTTTGTATAATTTGTTTTTTTTTGTTTTTTTTTAGTTATTTACTCCTCATGTTAGAAAAATATATTACAATATTAGGAAAAAACACAATAATATGATACTTTGAATTATTTGTTACCTTAATTGTTAACATTCAATTACAAAGACTTGGTGTCAGTGGTTATATTGTTTGTCTATCTTGTGGAAGTCTTAAGTTCACATTCCAGTTGAGTCAGGATTTTATGTTTATTTTTTATTTTTTTAATATTTATTATCATATATACAGCAATCTCTTTGAATATTAGGAAAAATACGAAGACAGTTATAGATTAAATAAGGGATAATACCATATAATAAACACAAGTGACAGTATGTGTCAAAAACAACTTAAATATCTTTTAAGTGCAATAGATTGCACTAAATTGCATTATTATTGATGTTTTTCACCTTCAGTAAAAATTTAGTCAAAAATATATTAGCATTTTTAATGAAAAGTTACATCTTTGTGAATTTGCCTTTACCATAAAATTCATTTCCTTTACCATCACAATTAATAAATCAGTGCCAGACTTTTGGCAATGTAGGAATATTTCTAAGAGAACCAGTTTTTTCACATGGCTCAACTTGTAAGGCTTTATCAAGAACATTTAAACATGACATAAAAATATAAATAAGTCCAAACTATAATCAAGGACCACTTACAAAAGATGAACAATTATACACAAAAAATATTGTTTTATGAAATATTTGAAAAAGTATAGACATTCTCCATACATATATTGTTACTACTATATAATTAGTCGTAGAAAACATATTCATAAGACATTCATTTAGGTTTAATTTTCAGAAGAAATGTTAATAAGCATTTACCATCATATGATAGTCATTCAGTTATTTATATAGACACACACAGAGATGTATACAAGATAATGTTTTAGTGTTGGATTACACTGTGACACACTTTTGTATATAAAAGCACTGTTATAATACTGAATTACAATGTAACACACCTCTCTATACAAAAATGCCTTTATAGTACTGGATTACTCTGTAAATACTTAGTTATTTATACAGAAACACTGTTACAGAACTGTATTACATTGTAACACATCTTTGTATACCAAACCAATGTTATAGCACATGATTACACTGTTATTATTGTTCAACTTCTAATATCAAACAAAATATTCTATCTTACACTTTTTATGGGGTGCTTGTTAACATTTTTATGAGAAATCAGAACTGATATAGTAAATTAACTGAAATGTTAGATAATTATGTCAATAATTTAATTGGTACACATAACTTTTATTACTAACTGTTGGAGGTAGTCTCTCGCAAGTTTATCATAATGGATGTTTTCCAGTTTGTTCTATTTTTGTTAGAAAAATTTTGTAATAATTTAAATCAATTAAAATATATTCTTTAGAGTTTTTATTGTCCAAATGTACATTTTGGGGGGAAAGTTAAGCCTAATGCTGTTAAAAGGAAAGACATGAACTTATTACTGCTTCAAGTATATTAACTATTGTTATGTTTTGTAATAGTGTTTTATGAAATCATAAGATGTAATAGTAGCATTAAAACATTTGCTTGACAGCTCTTAAATATTCTAGTTGTTAAATGCATTATGATGCCTTGATTTACTAATCTTGTACAATTGTCACTGTACATGTCATGCAGTTTAAAACAGTTTTATTAAAACAGATACACAACACATAAACAATTGTAGTTAATGAATGATAAATGCAGATTAATTTATCTACAATAAAATCCTTAATTTCTGTTTCAGATAGATTTAATTTATCATCCAATTTTACCAAACACAATTTCATTCAACTAAACATGACATCTATATAACTAACACTAGTAGTTTCTTGAAATAATTATAAAATGTTTAATAACTTATGGTAACAGGTATTCTCTATTGATATGAAAAGGTATTTTGCTCACAAATTTCTTCACATACAAGTTACTTTCATCCTTTGATACACATTCAAATGATAACATAACCTTGGCTAGTAACTAGGTTTTGTAAAAGCAACTTGAAAAGATGTCCATATCAGTGAAAGGTTTACACTGTTTTTGTGAATGCAAAACTGGTGTAACTTTGTACTTTGTTAATAGAGTTTGCTTTTTGTGACTCATCTCTACGTAATTCTTTCTGTTTCCTTTTTCACTGCTCCTGTTGGATATGTATACCTATCTTTATAACAGTACTTACTGATTGTTCATATAAGATAATCTCTTAGGCTATATAAATATTAATACATCAGGTAATAAAGGTAAATCTTTAAAATATTTAGATAATGTCCTAATTATCAGTGCATGTTGTCTGTCACATTGTTAATTGAGTAGGATTTGGAAGCCGTTTATTAGCATGAAACTATAAAGACGTTTTAGGAAGCTTTAACTCAGAAAAATAAGTCTTAAGTAACTGTAACTGTAAGTAATATGATTCCATGCAGTCATTAGGCAGATAGAACTATTTGATTTTCACTTCACACTGTAATTACATCTGTTACCTGATGAAAAAGAATACCAAGAGTATAGAAATGTGGGCAGATTTTATATATTTATTGTAGATCATACTTTATAATTTTTTATAAGCCTAGTCTAAAATTGGCTTGTGCAAGTTAAAACTTAATTTATTGCTTATAATTGTAGCCTATATTGGCTAGTGTTATAGCCACTAAAGTATTTCTTCTAATCCATTTCTGGTAGACACAAGCTCTAGTGTTATTAATGTCACCCACTAATCATGTGTAGATTAGCTTGAGTGAATTATAGAATGAATATTGTGGACTATTTATTACAGCAAATTTTGAAACTTCTACTGTGATTAGCAGAAAGTGATGACACTCATGTGATGTTGTAAATTTTCAGTTATACAAAAGGAAGTGTACATATTCGTAAGTTATCTGTAGTACAAACAGTGTTACCAATATATATGCTTGACAGTATTGTATAGATTTTGTCTAAAACTAACATTCTTCATTTCTACATGGAACTTGTTACTAATGTAAAATGTTATTTCATAGCAATCATGTACATCCAAAACATATTCTGCTAAAGAAATTTTATCATTGAAATATGTTTCTTAATTTATTGTTGTTTTATGTTCATGTCAATAGTTTTATTATATGAGCCAGAAATATATTTTTGACTTTTCACCATCACTTCAGTAATAATGAATAAACAGAGATTTAAATAATTTTTCATCCTTGAATGTCTTGTTTAGCTAAAATCTTTTTTTAATGAAATGTAATTTCAGCTGTGAAATAGAATATTTGTATTCTAAACCAATGTATTTCAAAGGTCAATGTATTTCACTGTTCACACACATAAGTTATTACAACAATTGTCTTCATCACTACAAGGTGAAATTATTTTCTACTTTTAATTATTTTATTTGTATGTGCCTTTAGGCATAAACTAAGAAAACCTATAGAGCATTTTTTGCAATATTTACTTAAATAAATTCATAATGCTTCATTATGACAAATTAGCCATGATTCTCTTAGTGAATGATTTCTGTAGGTGATGTACATAATTTTAATAGTTCTTTTGTGGTTGATATACAGTAAATAATGTTAGTTTCAACACATCTCAAAATGAAACATTCTTGAAGACAGTGTAAAGTGTAGTATTTCTATTTCCTGGTCTATGTTAATGTCTGCAATATTACTACCTTAATAGTTATGTGTAAACGTTTTTTGGATGACTTGTGTTTTAAAATTATTTAATCTGGTTAATTTATGTTTCAGTACATAACTTCTTATTTGTGTGTTTACTGCAATTTAGAAAGGGTATTTAGTATTTCATGAATGTGAAAGAAATATTTAATTATTATTATTTTTCTTGTGAAATTAAATTTTCTTTCAACTCTCAAATTGTTAAATTTAGAATCAGTTTATCTGCTTATGTTCCATAACCAATTGTAATGGTTTTCAGGGAATTGTAATATTTTGGCATTATTCTGCCTATTTTCATCATTATTGATTTCCACATGTATAGCATTTAACTATAATGTAGCCAAAGAACAGTTTTTTACACAAATTTTTTTCAGTTAATGAGTGTTTAAAATACTGATTTGTAAAGAAAAAAGTTTTAAATGTCAAAGCTCTGAAATAGAATAATGGAAATGCATTTAGAATTTTACATACATCTTTGTGTTACTGTATTGACTAGTAATAGTAATATTCTTGTTTCATTCTTGATAACAAAAACTATTAATGACGACATATTACAATCTGAAAGATGTTTAGTATTTTAAATAAAATGCTGAAATGATATTAAACTGGTGTATTTGAAGTGGTGCTTTATGTATTTTATCTTAAATGTATATTATTCTTATGTTTTATAAGAATATTCAAAAATCAAATTCTGAAGAGAGATTTTTGTTGAATAAATAAATGAGGAAATTTTCAGCACATTT